GCTAGTTGTACACTCTTTCCATAGTTGCCCCCTGTGGTTGTAATGCAACCATTAGCTAAATGTACTATCAATAAAATTTTGGGTCGCAAATACTCACCTTAATATTTAAAAAAAAAAAAAGGTTTAAATAGACAAGATCTGTAATTGGTTTACAAGTATAATATTTAGTATAGATCTTGTATAATAATATATAAACAAATTACTTAAATTAGATACCAAAATGCATATATGACTAGTTGCAATATTCAATATAAAAAAACCTTTAAAGACATCTATATTTGATAAAAACTTAAATAAAAATTACTTTTCAAAGATAGAGACTTTTAAAAAATAAATATATATATATATAAAATATATAATAAGTATTTATAAATATGATGATTAAATGAAGTAAATAGGTTATCAACTCTTAAATGATAAGTCTAAGATTTAAATTCTATAGATAATAAATTTTAGAAATTATATCTATATTATAATAACTATTTTTTGTTAATCAGTTGAATTTAGATATTTATAATCTTAGATATACCAAGCTGGATTCTTTCTAACATTAGAAATTCAAAACATCTGTATAAAGTATAATGTTATATATATATAGAAGAATATAAAAACTAGTGTTATATAAGACTTAGTATAAATTCACAATAAGACCATTAGGTATAAAAGACTAAAAAACTGAAAAGTTAACCTATTTAGAAATCTTAAATAAAAAGATAATACAAACTTTCAATAGTATTATCAAATTGATAAAAATTTATGAAACATTTTCAAAAAGATAGGTAAATAAACTGAATAACAAAACATATAAAGAAACATATAACTAATCAGGCTACCAGAATTACTAAAGAAAAAATATATATAAGTATATTATATTAGATTATCTAAATTAGTAGTTTAATGTCTTACCATTAATATTAAAAAAAAAAAAATAATAGTTTAATAAGTTTTATTAATCTTAAATAATGTTTAATAAAAAATAGTAAAAAAAATGACAAAAAAATAGATATCAAGATTTGAGTAAATTTTATAAAAGTATAATAGTTTAATGCTTAATCCTAACTAAAAATATTAATTTAGATCAAAAGAATACTGAATTAGTTGTAAATATAAAATACTAAAAACTCTAGTAAATTTAATACAAAATTAAATATGAATTAATGATCATGATATATTTGTACTAAGATGCAATTGTTAAGGTAGAAGTAAATACAAGAACTAAAATATTTAAATAAAGAACCCACAGGCAGGTTCTAGGTATAACAACTAATGTAAAACCTTCAAATAAACTACTTAAATTAGACAATGACTAAAGTTGTATGAGTAACTAGTTGTATGCTCTTTCCATAATTACTTTTGTAATTGTTGTACACAACAAACATAAGCCAAATACTATCAATAAACTCCTGGGTCACATGTACTCACCTTTATGTTAAAAAAAATAATAATAATAAGTAGGCATGACCTTACCTTTAATATTTAAAAAAAAAACATATAATAAGTGCCAAATCGTAGATGTATTCTATAATAAATAATGCTGTAATATTAAACTTTAAATTATAAAAATTATATAGTAAGTTGACACAATTAAACATACGTCCAATTAATCTTGTAATTTTTTGAACATTGACCAATATCTAAAGGCACAAAAAATTATTTGAACATACAGAACAAATTGGATATAGTCAAAATGTACAATTAAATTGGACATTGTCCAATGCAGGTAATTGAAAATGGATCGTCTACTGTAGTAAATTAGTTTTTATAATAAATATCGTTTATTAAAACGTATAAAATTTTTTTTTTAATAATTGATTTTTGCATCGTCTACCTTATAAAATTTTTTTACCAATCAGATTTTGTAATATCAAATTTGGATCAAATTTTACAAATTTTCAGTGAAAGCAAAGAAAGCTTATTTTGAACTGCTTGACGACCGTTTATACAACCAAGACTACTAATATAACCAATCAAAATTTCAAGAACGATAATATAAAGACTGGTCATTTATGCGAACAATACTTTAATGAGGACATCAAGTATCGTCGCACAATACTAAAAATCGACAAGAAGAGCCTTTGATTCCCATATTCAGTAATTTGTACAATGATGCCAATAGAAGTTCTTTACTGCAGTGCATCAAAATATGTTTATTAATAACCTTTTTTTAAAGTTTGTGTTTTTAAGAAAATTTATATATATACATTGCCTTCATTTTGTTTCTTCTTTATTATCTCGTATTTGCCGAGAAAGAACATAGCGTTTGTTCACCATGATCGTTGCTGTTCCAAAAGGTATTTCATCTATTGCTCAATGATTTTCCAACTTCTAATCCATCTCTCCTTTAATGCTTAGACTTAGATCTTTTACACACAATTTACTGTCTTCGTCCACTCATTCAAATGACGATTATTTTCCTGGTCTTCATCTACGTCTTCTGGTATTTAAGTGAGTACTAAATTTCGCTAAATACATGCAGCAGCGTCAGACGATTTTAGAACATTAATTTGGTTTTTATAAGTTCAATGTTCCCATTATCTAATACTAAATATATACTTGATATACGTATTTATATTATTTCAGAACTTACAGTTGAAATAATAATAGGCCAAGTAATATCTTCAACAATCCAACCGGCATTGAACGCACGAAGAGCAAGAAACGTTCGTCAACCCGTAAATGTCATTGATCACAGTCTAGAACTGCTTCGATATGACCACATCGATTTGAGGATATGATTGAAATCTTTGAAAATTAATAACAAAGAAGCTGGATTTTTTTGTTATTCATCCGCCCATAAAATCACGTGATACATTTCTTACAAACAAACATTTCCTTTGTTGCAAGATCTACCTTGCCTACGCATACATTGGAGACTTCATTGCTTCTAAAGAGAAATCATTTAAAGGTTATATATACTATTAAATTGTATAATAAACATTCTATGTATTTTTGATTTATTTTCGTGGGTTGCTTGAGTCACTAATGCGATTACATGGATTAGTAAATGAAACATATGCACGTGATTCAATTCATTCGATTTTTTCTTGAGAATTTTAAATTTTTTTGCGGACACGTTACACGACAAATTATCGTTATATATAGCGATAATACTTAATACTCCTTAAACTTGTCTTGACGAAAAGTATGTAAATGAGAAAAACTTTCGATCAATCGGATTAACTAAAGTGCCATGAAGATTCTCGTGTAATGTCATTATCACGTGTTCTCACATTTTCATTACATTAATAAAGGAATGCATTGGTGAAACAACTCGAAAACTACACTTTTTCAATTACATACTGATACATATAAATTTGTACTTTCGGTGAAAAATTTTATCAATGACTGAAAATCTGGAGTCAGTCCCATATCTTCGCCGTAGCGTACAAGAGGCATGTTCAAATGAAGGAAGTGAGCACGGTGAATCTAGCCTTATGAATTACAACATTCAAAAATAGCTTATATAATCATTTTCAATTTGCGATCTTTTACATACAGAACTAGACAGTGACTATTCAAAGCTAACTACTAACGTAGAAAAAATATTCCCTACACAAACTGACACTGTTCCCGATGTAAATTCTTCCTTTAATACCGTGGAGGATAAAATGTGTCGTATATGTTTTGCTGGCTCTGAAGAAGAAGAAAGTCTCGGTCGTCTTATTTCTCCATGTTTATGTAAAGGAACCATGAGGGTTAGTTACTTCAATTATTTTCATTCACCATTATGATCAATATTAATTAGCAGTTTGAATTATCGAAGTACGTCCACGTGGAATGTTTAAATCATTGGCGACTGCGAAGTCAAAAGAAATCAAGTTTTTTTCAATGTGACGAGTGTAAATATAAATATGCTTTTCGAAGAACAACAATTGCAAAATTCGCTACTAATGAATGTAAGTGTTTATTACAATTTTACTTATTATTATTTATTATTATTTTATTCTTATTTATTATTATTGACTATTATCGAACAATATCTTTTGCTTATTATAGTTATTCTTACATTTGTTACTTTAACATTGTTCGCTTTTTGTGTATTCATTGGTGGTTTTCTTGCCAAATTTCTTCTTTACCTTTACCCTATTGAAGATTATATTGCTGATGATTTCAATTATGATCCATTATTTCGTGAACGCATGGAGTTCTCAAAAATATTCAGAATTGACTACGTTCACATATTATTAGGATTTATGTTCGTAGGATTTGTAGGGTTTGTACAATTATTGTTCTCATTAATGTGGTTTGGTCCTTTCAGGTTTGGCCCAACAGGTGGTGCAACGGGTGGTAGACGTGGTGTGGATGGAATTACTGCTGTTTTTTTCACAATTATTGTTGCTGTAGGAATCCTTAAAGCTGTGTATGGGATGTATAAATTGGTCAGAGGTGCGAGTCGAAGGATCTTGGAGAGGGTTGAGTTGACTATTTTGGAAGTTAATGAGCGGTAACAAACGAGTCATAATCGAAATTATAGGTATACTTTATCAACTTTTCGTGAGTTAACCTTATTTAAGTGATGCATTTTTTTGGCAAATGCGATATTCACTTTTTAAAATGTTTTGCATGACACTTGTAATTAGAAAAAAAAAAAACATTAATCATAATAATAAATTATTTCTTACAAGTAATTAATGTTTTGTGACATCAAATAAAATTTTAACCTTCAGTGTCGCGGTATTTAGTACGGTACGATTTGAAACGTCGAATCTAGCGCAAAGAATGGTGGCCATTTACTGTGCCACTACCCGTTATTTAAAGTATCTTTCTTGATACGTTAAAAATTATGAATTATATAACATTTCGTCTTAACGATTGATATTAAGTTTTGATATATGCATCAAGAACGATACTTCTTTGATGGTTGGCATTTAATATACCTCGTTTTAACGGTACATACCATATCGAGTTAATGCCCGGATCCGGATTTAGTTATGGAGAAATCTATTTGTTGCTCCTATTGCGCACATAACAATTATACCAGTATAATAAAAAAAACCCCCATATCGATATATAGTATAATAAATATCAGAGAGGAAATTTACTACGTAAGGGAGAAAGGGTGTTATGACGAAGCTAAATAATTTCGATCGTATTACCGTTACATGATACATGGGCTGAAATCAAACGATTTTGATATCATCTGATTCGTCTCATCGAATGATACCAAAACCATTCGATTCTGATTACTGGATAGATACTGGATACCACAATATTTCTATTTGACATATAAGTTTATTATACCATTGGGAATCTAATGATATAAGAATCCCTTAATTTGGATTACAAAGTCATGAGATATTCATATTTTTATGTTAATTATATATAAATACTATAGCTAAAGAGATTATGATGAATCGCGATGCTGCGATTAGAATTATACGTACCATTCGATTCCTATCACCAAGAGTGATCTCGATATTAATCACGTGGGTACATGCGTTTCAAATAAATTAATTTACGATAACCACGTTTAAATACAAAGATCGAACAATTTTATTCCTTTTAATGTTTTAACTATCATTCATGAAATTCACAAATGTAATTGATCGTGTGAAAGTTATTTGTCTATAGCCCGTGTATAGCCCGTGTAAAATTTGTATATAACAAATCATCCACCCTTAGACAATGTTCTTTTCGTTGGAAATGTGTTAATTTTTCTGTATTTTTATTGCAAAAAAATTTTTTATGTTCAGTTACAATGATCGTATTACGTGTAAACACCTTTTCTACCTCACTATACCGTTAATGTTACACGCATATTGAAACTGGTGAGGGATTACATCCATCACAACATAAATAATTTAATTTGTAATTGATCACAGGCGGGAGGGATTCACTTTGGATCAGGCACTGTCTCTGCTGTAACCTCACTATGACAGTCGCATCAGTAACAATCTTAGCCCAATACTATTTTTAACACTTATAAGTTTTTACCTTTTTCTTGTTCATAAAATTTAACAATTCAAGCATAATATATAAATTATCAAGTCTGTTAAACATTAATTTGAACTCTTTTTTGCAAATATTTATTAAAGATAATAAAATTTTCGTTATACAAAATACAAATATACGTGATTCTATTTACTAATGTATTTTATATTTACTGTTTGATCTTTTATACATTATTGGTTTGAAAAAATTTGCTGTTGCGAAAATTATATGGGTAATTCGGTAATAATTCTTTTTTCTACTCAGCGGAGTCAAATTACGAATCCAAATGTCTCAGGATCTTTCATCGATTTCCTTGTTATAAGAAATTAAAATTGTAAGTTCTGGTTCTAAGTATTTTTGGTCTGATTTATAAAATAGCCTATGTTTTTAAAAAATAAAATAAAATACAAAATGAATAATTGCATTATCAAAACATTGAGCAAAAACGTTCACAATAATTGTGGCCACATGAAACTTTTAGTTGCTCAATTTTATGTATCACATTTCACCACCAATGGTTACTACCAGGTCTTGCTCACCCGACCATATTAATGTGTAATTACTTTAACCAGTCAGTCCTGCGAGCACTGACCAAATAATAAACCAAAATTATCTTTTAATTATAGAATAAAGAAATGAACATTCACAACAGGTGTCCACTGTAGAACTCTAACAACAACTTCACAAGTTACAGCCTGATGAGCTTTCAAATTTCTTTTATCTATAGCTAGAATCACAAAACAAATACACACAATTTAGTAACTATCCAGTAAAATATATTACCTGTTCTCTTTCATAGGTACTTCAAGTTGTTAAAAAGATAATAATTTTTATTGAATTGGTATAGGAACCTTAGCATTATGCGAAATGAAAGGCTGAATTATGCGATGCAATTATGTGCCCGATGCTATTCACTTCTGAAATTATGCAAAATAATCATAAATTATGTAATTTTTTTAAATCCATCAAATTCAAAAAATTTAATATACGAATAGAATTTCAGACAAATTTTGTCTGTTATCTGTTAAAATTCTATTATATGCAGAAAAATTACACTTCACATCAACACCTGAAATTGGTAACCAAATATAAATTAATGCTAATTTGGATAAATTTGGTAAAATTTGAAGTTTTTTTTGTTAATAATAATCTAAATTAAAATCATCTTCAAATAATTTAGTCAAACCACAATAAATTCTCTATTCAGTAATTAACTCGTTTGTAAGATTTTTAAATTCTTCAAGATTTCTATATAATGAAATATTTTGATAAATATGGTTGTAATTAAATAAAACATGAATCAAAATATTTAGTAGTAGTAAAAATTGAAATAGCAAAATTATTATTGATATGTTTGTTAAATTTAGTTAAATCAAGCTTAAATGTTACTTTAAAAAAAATATTATGAATTATAAAATCAATATTATATTCTTTACAAAGTTTTTTCATTTTATTTGATTTAGATAGAATTTCAATATCAGAAAATAATTAATTCTAATTTTGTTGTAAGAAATAGAGTTAAGAGAAAAATTCAATTTTATTAACCAATCTATAAATTAATTAAAAAAATTAAATTAAAATTAATAAATAATTAAAATGAAAATTTTATTTTGATGAAATGTAATGACCTAGTAAAGTGGTCAGGTTGTCAATTTTTTAAGTGGTAGGTTGGGTATTCAAATTCCATTGACAGTGAAAATTTAGATAATTATCTATGTAATATTCATATTATAACAATTGTTACTATTGATTGGATTAGGATATCTGTAATAACAGTTACATCAGCATAACTGGCAAGTTATGGGACATTTGTGTAATGTTGGAATTACACAGAGAAATGTAAACTAACAATTGGGTAATACAAATATTAGATAAGTTTTTGTAACTATATAAATCTGTTAAAATTAGATAACAAAAAGTTCATTTAGAAAAATCTAAGTAGAGAGATAATCAAATCTTCAATAGTATTACTGTAAAGAATAGACTACTAAAAATAAATATCAAGATTTTAGTAACCAGACAAGCAAAGACTTCTGAATTGGGAATTTCAAAAATATCACCAACTAGATCACTAAAATGAATCAAAGGAAAAGGATATTAAGTTAACTTAATATATCAATAGACTAATTGTAGTCCTATACAGACTATTTGGATTAGAAATTTAACAAAATTCAGAGGTATACTAAAGTACTAGAAATATGCAGTAAAGTAGATGCTAGGGTCTAAGTAAACTCTACAAAGGCACAGCAGTTTAATGATTAAGTCCTAACTGCAAATGTTGGTTTTACTATAGTGATATCTAGATTAGCTATAAAAATAAATACAGAAAACTGTAGACAGTTTACCTTAAGAATAAAATAGTTCTAAAGTTGAGACAATGATCTGGGCATCTGAGTATAACCCAGTGAGTTAATACAGATTAAAGATTTAGAGAGTTTAAAATAGAACATCCAAGCAAGAGTATTAGATATGACAATTAGTAGGAAACCTTTAAGTGAACTTCTTAAATAGATAATATAGAAAAATTACATATATAGCCAATTGTATACTCTTCTGTAGTAGTTCATAGAATCATATTACCAAAAAGTTATTAATAAAACCAAAGAGGTTATCTTAATACTAAAAAAAATAAATAATTCTATTTTAATCCAGATCAAATTAATTGGTTTTCTAATTTTGTGACTAGTATAGTTTATCTTATATGCAATAACATCTATCAAAATTTGTCATATGATCACTATTTTTGTAATTTTGATTATATGATTTGAACTAGTTGGATTAACTAATCCAAATTGAATAAATTTCAGATAACTGATTAAATAAATTCTTAATTAGTTGATCTATACAATCAGATGAGTATTGGTAATTAATTAACAAAATATAAATAATATTAAAAAGAAACAAAAAATTTAAGAACTTCTGAAAAAAAAATGAATAAACATAAAAATTTAATTAAAGATTCAAGAACTTCCAAAAATAAAGTGTAAAGCAAGGATGTGTAAAGTTTATAATTTAAGATGTTTCTAAGAAATTTTATTTATAAAATTTATAAGTTTTATTTCTTAAAATTATAGTAAATCATAAAATCCATATGCTCTTAATGTAAAGTAATCTTAATCAGTTGTAATCAGTTAACAATAAATATTTTAGTTTAATTTTTTCTTAGTTTAAATTACTATATATAACTGTTCTTTAACAATTTTTATTTTTTGTTGCAACAAACTTAAATCCTATCTGCTTTACAACTTTGATTTATACTAAAAATTATATAAATTAGATAGAAAATATGTAATCATCAAGGTTGATAAAATTATTATAATTTATAAATTTTATTGTAAATTATCAAACCCATTAGTAACTTATCAGATAAGTTATAATACTTCCTAAAAATTTTATTATAATTTTGTGTTTATTGATAATCTATTATCTTGAAATACTTTGATATTATTCTATTTTTATTAATAGCTATTTTATATGCAGATTAATTATATGAAATTAGTTGATATATGAATATGCT